TATTATTTTCTTTATTACTTTAGTATTGTATAATAATATAATATTATTATTATTATTATTATTATTATTATTATTACTGTATACTCTACCTCTAAATTGGACCTGATCACTGTCTCCCGTACAAAAAAGTGGTGGGAGGTCCAACATTTTAGAACAAGACTTAAAGGGACATCTTCCAATCCCAGAGGGGATTTCCCTTGGCTTTGGAGAGAAAATCCTGTTCTCTTATTGATTTCGGGGGAACATGACACTAACCCTGTTCAATGTTCGACCCTTCAGTTGTCAAGTGATCACTTAGGGGTGCGGATGAGCTTTGATATATGCATTGGAAGCAGTGCGTTGGGGTGGTGGCAGAGTATGGACAAGGTATCATAAGGAACTTAAGAAGATCCCATAGCACTCCCAACCCAAGGTAACGGGTGGGTGCTGAGATGCCTCCGCAGATCTTACTGGACTGCGAGTGATTTTCTACTACGTTGAAGGTATCATAAGGCACTTGGCGGCAGAGATGTAGCTATATGTCATCCCCCCCCCCCTCCCCGAGAAAAATATTAAGGGGCTAATCCCATGCCTCTAATCTTTAGCTCGTAGTGGTGGCAGATGTCCAAGAACAGAAAGGGAGGTGAGACATTTTGTGAAACCGCTCGGTTCTGATTACATAGTTAACATCTGCCTGGTCACATTCCATGATGATTGGAATAAGGTGACTCATGTGGCTTCTACTTCCGGTTCCTGACACGCTTAAGAGCTTAGGAAGCCACTTCTACAACCTTACAGAACGAGTTCTGTTGAATGTGACTAATGATGGGATGGACAAGATAAATGAGGACCTTCAAAGACCTCCAATGACGATATCAAATTATCTCATTTCAGGAACCTTTATTGGATTGCCCCGGTGTGGAAGCATCTCGAAAAAAATATCTACTGTGGACCAGATAGAAAAGTTCTCAGCGAGTCAATTTTGTAAAGTCCCCACCATGGAGGGCTTTCCTGCTGTCTTCTACAGTGAGCCGGCTGTGCTGGGACTACTTGCCAACGCCGTTAGCGCTTTCCTCGTTTGTATGCAAAACTTCTCTCTGTTCAACACCTCGGTTGCCATTGGCGGAGTGGAAAATATCCTTGCAGGTAAATATAAGGACATGGAAATTTGCCTTTAATAGGTTTTTGTAAGAAAAAGTGGTATGATGGTTGACGTTCCTCATTTCAATCTTCACAGGTGTCCATCTCATACTGATCGGAGGTATCACCCAGCTCATTGCAGGATTCCTGTCTTTCAGAAAGTATGACCATCTCGGTGGTACAGCCTTCATAGCCTTCTCTGCGTTGTGGAGCAGCTATGGTGCTACTCGTATTATTTCTGGTACAGAAGCAGAGGCACAGAACATCTCAGTTGCAGCAGGCCTACCTCAGATCCCAGTGACCGAGAGCGCCGTGGCTGGGCTAGTGCCCTACATCATAATTGCCTTCATTCTGGCTTTCTGCTCAGCGACGGTCAATTATATCATGCCTTTCGTGTTTGGAGCAATCACGCTGACGCTGATTTTTGAAGCAGTGGGCCTGTTTGGTCGTTGGGCCTTGGTAGTCTCTGGTGTGCTTGAGCTGGTCATAGTGTTGTGCGGACTCTATGGAGCAGCAGCACTGCTGCTGAAAGGCATCACCCAGAGGTACGTGCTTCCAGGCTTCGGCAATGCACTCTTCAATGTCCTACTCCTTGGGTCGGCCAACCGTAACTCCTCCAAGACAGCAGGAGAAGAGAAGAAAAAGAATACAAAGTATGCTGAGCCAATGGCCCTGGGTTACCTCTGCGACACCATCTCTCCTTTCATCATGGCCTTCTACTGCTTTGGTTATATGAAAACCTTTTACGTAGGTGCCATCTGGATCAGCATCAATGTCCTGTCTCAGCTGCTTTCCAGTTACTACAGTTATCTGAGGGATGACATTTACCACGCCACCAAGTTTGCTTTCCACGCCATCTTCTGGTTGGTCAAGTCATGGGAAGAGTTTACCGCCACAGTTGTCCTCACATCTACACAGGTCTCAGACGTCAGAGAGCTATTGGTGGGTGACTGGTTCTTCCTGGCTTCAGCTTGCATGTTCTGCTTTTTATCGCTGAATAAGGACGCCCTCGATATAGCACATAATGTTGCGTTCGTTCTAATGACCGTGTCCACCATCCAGCAAATCCCAAGCCGAGCTTACTATATATTCTTCGGAGTAACTTGCAGTCTGTTTACCGCTGTCTCCCTTTATGCAACCTTTGCCACCCTCGTGAATTCCATAGCAGAGAAAGTCCTGATACCCATCGGAAACCTGGCGATGTCAAGCGCCAAGTTCCAGGAAATTTTGCTGTGGGGCAGGCAGTGCCTACAGAAGCCGGGACAGGAGCTAACCGTCAAGGAAAATACCAGCTCCCACTCTTCTGACCCTCTCTTCTACCTCTGCAACGGCCTAGCTGCCCTTGCTGCCATCCAGAGTTCTCTAAACTATTCAATCCAAGCACATTTATCGATTCCCTGGGTGCTCATACCTGGCGCCATCATCCAACTGTACATCTGCAGAATCGACGTCCAAGGAGGTCGAAGATTTGGCTCCGTTCTCCCGTTTTGTTACTCTGCTGTCTGGGCCACCTGGGTCTGGCTACGTTTTACAGGTATGAGATAGATCATAAATCAAACAAATATAATGTTCTTTTTAAAGGATACCAATGTTCCTTAGATATCCTTTAACTGACTCCCCCTGCCCTCCCGGCAACCCCCAAAACCTTAGGCTCACCTTGTATTAATAGGAAAGTGAGCGCCACTCATGTTTCCAACAGAAGGCCTCAAGAGACTATTTCCACCTCCATTATGTTCCGTCTTGGTGTACTCTGGACACTCTGAGACCAATCACAACATCTGATTTTTCTGTAATCAGTAAAGACTAAAAGATGATATCTCTTTCCTAGGTCCACTGCTGGGGATTGATCCAAACAACGATGGGGGGTTCACAGTGGGAGCAATCTTCTTTCTGGTACTGAACATCTTCATGATTACCTTTGGTAAGTAGGACGAAAATATCATTCAAATTTTATTCTTCCAACACAAGCTGTACAATATCTTTAGGGAAAGATAAGTAAAATAGACCTTTTGACAATGGGAACGTGTCAATGGACATGTCTACAAGTAACTAAAGACCTCCAGCCCTCCCTCCCTAGCCCCCTAAACTACCTTAAGCGGAATCCCTCCTCACCCAGGTGCTTCTTTACCTCCTATGATGGTGGCCTCCACCCATGTTGGTAACACTCTTGCCAGCAGGATCTAGCATGGAGCAAGAACAAAACCATGGGGTCTCTATCTCAACGGTGACATTGAGGTCTAGTCTCACCATTAAAAAACAAATTCATGCTCATCTCGCCTTCCTATACTTACTTACACCTCTCTAGTTTACCCCCAGGGGCCTGGGGGCTCCACCTAATCGTCTTGCCTCCCTGTCTATGTCCTTCCCCTGAAGTATTGTCTTGTCCTCTGTCCGCTTTCTCCCACTTGTGCTATATGAGAGTGTGGGGGGACCCCGCCTTGCAGATAGTCACTCCGCTCCCCATTTATCTTACCCCTGAGACACTGGAACAAGGGGGATTATACTCCAGGGCGGGTGGAGAGACGAGGCCAGTAAACTTGTTGCAAACTACTTTTCGTGATCTGATCAGCCACGTGGTTTGGTGGCGGACCCACGCTCCATCATAAGATCACCACTGTCTGTATTGATACCAAGCTACGACGTGCTCCCTGCTGGATCCCACATATTGTTCTATTGTTCTTTTGTATTGCTCCTTTGTGATTGTTCTGCTTTATGTGTACGCTTTTTCTTGACTTGTGTATAAACAAAATCTCAATAAAACAGATTGTACCAATAAAACAGATTTTACCAATAAAACAATTTCATGGCAACATTTGACAGTAGTCAAACCATTGTTTTTTCTTCTGTATGATGTCCTTCTCTGATTTGTTAATTGATTTCATCTATGACATCAATATGAAAGTAATTTTTTTGGGGTTTGCTTTTACCTAGCCGCTCACGCCAACACCGTCCTACTTCTTCTCACTATAATGATGGAGGCCGTGATAGTCAGTTTTCTGCTCTTCACGCTGGAAAAGCTTCCTCTGCAGTATGAAAGTAAGTGCTGAGTACTTGTATGGACTGTCGGGTCTTTGTTTGGAAGGGATAAGGTGTGTTATGAATGATGAGGTCATTTGTAAGAAGGATGGCCCTCAACTGAACCAGCATTTGGCAAAGTTCCTTCAGATAGGGGAGATGTTTAAGGGCCATACACATCTCCCCAACTGGCTGTTAGCAACCAGAGCAGACGGGGACATGTTTATGAGGGTCGGATGCTGGCCAGAGCATCCCAGGATGCTAAGTCCTAGGCGGAGAGATGTGTATGTGGGTGGGATGCCGGCCAGAGCATTGCAGGTTGGTTGGAGCTGGGCCGGGAGGAGTGTGTAATGCTCTTATACATCTCCTTGCCCAGATCTGGGCAACCTGGGATGCTCTGGCCAGTGTCCCACAAAGCTCCTGGCAACCAGTGTGAAAGTAAGTGGTGCCTACTTGTATGGACTGTCAGGTCTTTGTATAGAAAGGATAAGGTGTGTTATGGATGATAAGATGATTTTTTAGAAGGATGGCCCTCAACTGAACCAGCATTTGGCAAAGTTCCTTCAGATAGGGGAGATGTTTAAAGGCTTCATACATATCCCCAACTGGCTGTTAGCTTAGCAACCAGAGCAGAAGGGGAGATGTGTATGAGGGTCAGATGTCGGCCAGAGCATCCAAGGATGCTAAGACCTGGGTGGGGAGATGTATATGTGGGTGCGATGCCCGCCAGAGCATTGCAGGTTGGTTGGAGCTGGGCCGGGAGGAGTGTGTATGGCCCTTACACATCTCCTTGCCCAGATCTTGGCAACCTGGGACACTCTGGCCACCTTCCCACCCAGCTCCTGGCAACTAGTGATTTTGCTGGTTGCCAGGAGCTGAGCGGGATCCTGGGAGTGCAATTTGTTACCTCTGATATTAGGTAAAATAGGCTTTGAGTAGGCTTTGCTATATGAATGTTCATATTTTATCCTATACCTCTATATTCACGATCTGGTCCATGTTCCCCTTTCTCTAGTAACCGTGCTGTCCATATTCAGCATCATCTGTATCTACGGCTTCATGGCTTCTCTGGCAAACTGCTTGTTCAACAAAGAGCTCATCCCAGTGGGACCCTCGGTATTCAAGGTAGCGCCACATTTCTCTAAGTAATACATAGCAATGACATACATCATATGCCATAGTAATATAGACGGGGGGCACAACAGCAGGGGGAGACGAGCAGCGCATAGAAGATCCGTCCTAGAATCTTTGAAATATTTTAGGACGTATCTCCTATGTTTGAAGTCCACACGTGGTAATCTTATACAAAGCAAATTTATGTAAATGTGTTCCCTTGTGTCCCGTTTTTAGAAGGAAGAGCCAGAGAAGAAGGAAGAAGCCTCCGGTTCATGCCTCCTGCAGAATTCTCATCGCACAAGTGGTTTGAGGACAATAGCAAATATACTAGAGGATGGAGGGGTGTGCGGGATTCCAACAGACACGGTCTACGCTCTTGCGGCTTCCTGCAAACATCCAGAAGCCATCAAAAGGATTTATACTATCAAAGTAAGAAAAACATTTTCACTGCACTTATTAGTGAATTTCCTGATCGATGAACGCCAACAAAACGCATTCCAGTAGATGCCAGCTTCCAGTGCCTGTGTCTCACATGATGGTATAGAAACAGTTGATATGCTAAATACACATATGGGTACCATTGTAGCCATTTATAGATGTTGGTAACTCTTCTCAGCCAGCTTGTGATGCACACGCGTCTGGCAAACTGCACCTGACAATGAGTGGATTTACAAAACGTATATAAGAACTGCATATTCCTCTAATACAAATATATTGGGGATTAGGTATTTGTTGCTTTTAGATTTTAGTGGAAGGGAATACTAGAAATGTACATACAGGTACACCAACAGTTTGTGAACACCTGACCACCACATCTATAGGAGCTTGTTGGACATGTTATTCCAAACCCATGGCCATCAATATGGATTTGCCCGCCGACCATGCACATTAATATGGAGTTGTCTGCCCATTGTGGTTATACCATCCCCCACTATTCTGGGGAAACTTTCTACAAGATTTTGGAGGGTGTCCATTTGTGAGGTCAGGTACTGATGTTGGATGAGAAGACCTGGCTCATAATCGTCTTTCCAATTTTTCCCAAAGGTGTTCAGTAAGGTTGAGGTCAGGGGTGTGTGCAGGACACTCGAGTTCCTCAACACCAAACTGGTCAAACCATGTCTTTATGGAGCTGGCTTTGTACTGGGGACAGTCATGGTGGAACAGAAAAGGGCCTTCACCAAACTGGTCAATCCTTGTCCTAATGGAGCTGGCTTTGTACACAGGGGACAGTCATGGTGGAACAGAAAATGGTCTTCACCAAAATGTTACCACAAGGCTGGAAGAGCACAATTGTCTGCAATGTCTTAGTATGATGGAGTATTAACAGAACCCTTTACTGGCAACACCTGAACGCCACCATTTGGAGGGCTTCCAGTTCATCCGAGTGGTGTTCAGTAGGGTTGATGTCAGGACTCTGTACAGGACACTCAGGTTTCTCTGCACCAAGCTGGTCAAACCATTTCTTTATGGAGCTGGCTTTGTACACAGGGGGCAGTCATGGTGGAACAGAAAAGGGTCTTCACCAAACTGTTACCACAAGGCTTGAAGAACACTTGTCTTAGTACGATGTAGTAATAACAGAACCTTCATTGGAAATATCTGAACTCCATCATCTGGAGGTGGGTCCACATAGTTTTGGCCATCTAGTATAGATATGACATGTAAAAATGAATCCATGTACATCAGGGGTGAATAAATTGGTGGCATGCTATACGATGCATTTACTGATACAATTCTTTATATTACAGGAAAGACCTTCAGAAAAACCTATTTGTATCTGCATTTCCAACCTGGATCAGCTGAGGGTCATCAATCCCCCCTTCAGCCCCCTGCTATGGAGGTTCATGGACATGGTATACCCTGGAGGCATAAGCTGCATTGTAAAGAAAGGCGAATGGCTCAAAAGACTAGGTAAGTGGCATTTAGTATGTTCTAACAAGCCTATCACTATGTCATATTTTTAACGCCTGGGGATCTTTTCCTGGTAGCCGAGTGAAAGTTGTTGCAACATTGGTATTGGTTTATTAAAGGAGTAGAGGCTGTTTACTTAGCAAACTGAACAAAAATAAATAGGATGAACCTGTGCTCATGCTCAATACCCAATAGTATGTCCTTAGACTTACAGCCACTGGAGGCGGGTGGATGGGGATCGGGTGGTGATGGCCATGAACATTAGTGCGGGTGGGCTGGCATGGGTGGTGATGTTCATAAATGTTAGTGTGTGTGGGGTGGGCTGGCATGGGTGGTAATAGTCATGAATGTTAGCAGGGGTGGGGTGGGCTTGCAGGGGTGGTGATGGTGATGAACATTCCAGGGGGTGCTGCTGTGGTGGTGAACGTTAGTGCGGGTAGGGTGGGCTGGCATGAGTGGTGATGGTCATGAACATTAGCAGTGGTGGGGGTGGGGTGGCATTGGTGGTGACCCTGTCTGTCATCCCTCCCAGCTCACTGGTTGCCAGGAGCTGGACAGGACACCAGCCAGAGCACCCCAACCAGCTCCTGGTAACCAGTGACATCAATGAGTTTGGCAGGACAATGGATAGAGCCCCACAGGTTGCTAAGAGCTCTTAGCAACCTGGGACGCTCTGGTCGGGAAGGAGGCAATAGACACACCTGCCCCCACCCCCACGTGACCCAGTGAGATGCCGCCTGAGGCAACCACCGTAGGCTGCCTCATGATAACGATGGCTTGATTTTTACAAGAACGTGATTGGTTGATTGAAGTGAACACGGCTCCATCTTGTTTACTAAGTCTCTTTTCCTTCAGTAAACCATTCCATTGTCTTTACCATCAAGTTTACTGCCAAGTCTGGTCCATATTCATGGTGGTTTTGAAGGCTGCAATGGGCAAAAGGCCAACAAAGCAGTTGATGATCACCAGGTCAAGTGAGCATATGGTGATTGTCCACGGCTATGTTCCCCACAAAGTGTTGACAGATCAAAGTTGGTTCTTGCGGCCTGTCCCCGGGCGCCACCATCTTTTCAGCCACATCTTCTGGGTCCAATGCCACCCATCTCCTCCCATTGGCCAGCCACTTTTGATAGGCCCTACATTACTTATAGATGCTGAGGATGATGTCTATAGAAAAAAAAAGCCATACACATAAACTGTTTCGCAAATGTCAGCATCTTGGCAACAAAAGAGATTTTCCCGCCACCGAAACCTCTTCCAGATACCCTCTAGCTAAACGATGTAGTTAATGACGGCTTAAGCTCTCAGCACTCTGCCTTGCCCGCAGTAGACACATTAGCCAAGTTCATGTGTGAGTCAGTAACGAGTTGCATTAAACGAGGCGAAAGCACATTAGCTAAAGATTATTCTGCGATACAATAGTAAACCCGCCAACAGTAGCCGCTCTGATACAGCGCCCATAAAACCCGAGATCATTTGTATTAATAATTAAATCACATTTCACGCTTCCAAGGGTTCCAAGGTGAAACATTAACTAGGTTCTTCAAGGCTTGACATCACTCATGCCGGCACTGCCAGGGAATTCCAGAATGTCGATATGCTCGTCGCCCACGGCGACCCTTGCTGGGTCATTATTTGTCAATGTGATGTATTGTAACCAGAATGTTCATTGCAGGTGTGGGGCCCGCGTATGAGTTTGTTGGGACGCCGGACTCCATCATGATTAGGGTCCCCGACCACTCCGTCACGGCCCATCTTACCGATATGACGGGACCGTTAGCCATCACCTCTGCCAACCCGAGTGGAGAAAGCGACAGTACCCACCATGACCATGTCACATCGTAAGTAGCAGGGATGCCGTTTTATTGTCTATTTTTCTCTTTCATATTTATTTATTTATTTGTATCATTTGTTGTATCTCAGTGCCGCAGATCTCCTATAGACACTTCTTCTCTATATACACCCCAGCAATGGCTGCATTCTAGGGATGCACTGATACCACTTTTTTAAGACCGAGTACGAGTACCGATACTTTTGATCAAGTACTCGCAGATACCAATTACCGATACTTTTTCTTAAAGGGACAGGTCACATTTTTTCTAAAGCAATACAAACTAATGCTTTAAAGTCACTTTCTTAATATTATGATTCATGAGATGACAAGGGAGCATGACGCCGTTTCCTGGCCAATCAGGAAACCGGGCAGCGTGTAATCATGCGCTGCCCGGCTTCCTGATACAGGAAGTAATCGTGCTAGGTATCGGAGCATTTGGGCGAGTACGAGTACTCACCCAAATACTCGGTATCGGCACTGATACCGATACTAGTATAGGTATCGGTGCACCCCTACTGCATTTCATTTCATATTATAAATTTAAAGCTGTCAGCAGTCCAATAAAGAAAATGTAAACCCTAAAGGAATGACATTTTTTGAAAGTGTTGTATAAACAAAAAGTTTACTCTAAAAATATTAAATACATGTAAATCTGTGAAGAGAAGAACTTATTTCTATGTATTTAATCAAATAAAAAGAATGTAAAGCAAAAAAAAAATTATTTTCCTCTCTATTCCTGTTCTTGTGACAACTCATAAATTTCAGATTTCCATCTTTTTCTGTAGCCGAGAATATGGTCACCAGGACCAATAGAAAGGGTGAACCAACCCAGTGGGGGCACAGACAGTAATATAATCCTGACAGAAATTCTCCCCTCACCACCCTATGCCAAGCTAAAAAAAAAGCTTTGGCTTTACATACACTTTAAGACCGAATATTTTGATTGTTTTTTCACCTTAGCCCTGAAGAAGGAAGCGTGAGACCCCCGAAGCACAATGGCATTTTTATGGACTTTTGAGAAAATAAAAGGACAAAATAGTAAACATGGAACAATGAACTTATCTTCAGATTTGTTTATATTTTGCATTTCCATTTCCTCATAGGCTAGAAAATTACTTAATAAACATTACAATCACAATACAATTCAAGACAAGATGGGAAGGAGGGCCCGGCCCCTGAAATGATCATTTTCACTGTTAGTGACATTTTTGTTTCGTTGATTGAAGACATTAGTTTAAAAAAAAAAAAATCTACTTTTTCTTCATTTAGAAAAGTATGTTTTTTAGGTGGTGTATTTCAGGGTAAATAAGCTTATTTCATTAATTGTTTATTGTTTTTGTGTTTTTTAATTTTTTGTGTGTATTTGATTGTTATTTCTGTATTGTCACTTTATTTTTTTATTTTTGTTTTTGCTATTTTTTTCTTTTCTTTCTGTGAAGAAAAAGGAAAATAAGTAGGCTAATAAGTGTCCTTTTTGGCACAAGAGCAGTTCTAAAACAAATAAAAAGGTGCTTCTCTAACCCTCAAGAACCATTCAAATCACACCGTACCCTTCAGGGATAGCCAAACCCAAAAAAACAAACATGTGATATATTGCGGCTTATCGGTCCTCGGAGGTGGTGGCTGCTTTGGTTTTATTTTTTCATGTTTTTGCACCTGGTGATCCTGCAAATAACACACTTCCTGTCCCTGGGGAGGGGGGGGGGGCAACTCTCACTCCTCTACTGTATCTATGGAGGTTGTACCCCAGGCTGGACTTCAAACATGTCTGCTATTTGGCATAACGTCTTTTTCGCTCCATAAGACGCACCCCCCCCCCCCCCCAAAAAAAAAATGTCAGTGCGTCTTATGGAGCGAATGTGTGAGAGCTGAGTGAATCCCTATCGCCTGACGCCCGGGACATGCACTTTCGGGGCGCCGGGCGAGTAGTTTTTTTTGTACATTTAGCCCGGCTCCGGACAAGCAGAGCTAAATGTATAGTGTGGAGCTGCCGCTCGTTTTCATACAAGTGATCTGATTAGATCACTTGTAGGAAAGGAGCAGCGGCGATCCTGTCTGCCCCCCGGTTTTCGGGGTCCTCCACTCCTCTAGGGGACGCGTGACCACGGCATAGTAGCTCACTATAGAGCCCGTAGTGCAGACGAAGAAAGTCCGTTGTTCGTCTGCTCTGTGTGATCACTGAGGCAGGTGTCGCTCCAATCACAGCGCCACCTGTCTCAGCTGTCAGGAACTACACGCGTCTTATGGTCAGGTGCGTGTTATGAAGCGCAATTTACTGTAGTTCACGTAGTTTGCACTGTGTATACACTTGTATCTTGTTCACACGGCTACATTCTTCCTCTTGGGTCCTGTCAGACTTTAATGCAGCCGTCCCAACTGACTCCAATGCCATTCTTTGGGCAGATTTTGCGGCACTCTGCAGATTTTTTGCTGAATTTTGGAGAACTCTCAGTTTGGCTCCTCCCCAGAAAGTACCCCGGTTACCTTTCCTATGTAGCGTGAAAAAAATTGTCTTCTTAACATTTCTCAGGTTGAATCCAATTTGGATAAACTATTGGACGATCCCCCAGCATTTCCGGGGATCTTCCCAACAGACCTCGGGCTCCCCGAGCTCCGTAGTGCCCGCGTGTGCCATTGTTCTCTTTCATTAAAGCCGTTACAGTTTATTATGTTGAACATTTCTGATGACTTCACATTGTAAATGTATCATTGTATCAATAAATGTTATTTATTCACATTGTCCCATCATGTCTCATTTCTGTATAATAGAATATATCATATACCTGTATAATTACTGATAATTGAAAGACTGGGACAGAGCGTTGTCACCCTTGAACAGGAAGTGCCTGAATAAGGACATTTATGGCAGGATCACCAGGGATTATTTTAATATAAGCTGTAGAGCGGGGGTCTCAAAGTACAGGCGCAACCACGGGGTCCTGGTGTTCCTTATGTCCATGGAGGAGGTGGGACACGGAGAGGCGTTGGAACTCAGGGAGCAAGGAGGGGTCTGAAACAGAGGGTGCAGATAAGTGTTGAAGGGCACCGGGGCTCTGCTTCAGGCAGATGTGTTGCTAGCTATCTGTCCTCACTTTCTCTCCTGGCTGTCTCTCCTCTCTCTCTCCTGGCTGTCTCTCCTCTCTGCCTCCTGGCTGTCTCTCCTCTCTCCCCTGGCTGTCTCTCCTAACTCTCTCTCCTGGATGATTCTCCTCTCTAATTTCTTGCTGTCTCTCTTCTCTCTCTCTCTCCTGGCTGTCTTTCTTCTCTCTCCCCTGACAGTCTCTCCTTACTAATCCTCCTGGCTCTCTCTCCTCTCTCCTGGCTTTCTCTCCTCGTTCTCTCCCCTGGCTTTCTCTCCTCGTTTTCTCCCCTGGCTGTCTCTCCTCATTTCATTCCCCTGGCTGTCTCCCCTCACTCTCTCTTCTGGCTGTCTCTCCTCGCTCTCTCTCCTGGCTTTCTCTCCTCACTTCCCTGGCTGTCTCTCCTCATCCTCTCCTCTCGCTGTCTCTCCTCATCATCTCCTCTGGCTTTCTCTTCTCTCTCTCTCTCCTGGCTGTCTCTCCTCCCTCTCTCTCCTGGCTGTCTCACCTCGCTCTCTCCTCTGGCTGGGGCTCCTCTCTCTCCTGGCTGTCTCTCCTCGCTCTCTCTCTCTCCTGGCTGTCTCTCCTCGCTCTCTCCTGGCTGTCTCTCCTAGCTCTCTCCTGGCTGTCTCTCCTCGCTCTCTCTCTCTCCTGGCTGTCTCTCCTCGCTCTCTCCTGGATGTCTCTCCTCGCTCTCTCTCCTGGCTGTCTCTCCTCGCTCTCTCCTAGCTGTCTCTCCTCGCTCTCTCTCCTGGCTGTCTCTCCTCGCTCTCTCTCTCCTGGTTGTCTCACCTCGCTCTCTCTCTCCTGGCTGCCTCTCCTCATGCGTCCCCCGTGGAAGAAGAAAACATGCCCAGTGTCCCCCAGGTCATTGGAGTCTGTGACCCCAGCTTTAGAGTTACAAAGACTGAGAATACCAGAGTGTGGTCACTCCCAGACGGGACTTCTACCTGTGAGGAGCACTGACCACCTGATGCCAGCTCCTGAGCCTTCTGACAACATTGGATCCCGAGGGCTTGAATCTTCACACCTTTACATTTGTAAATGTACAGACCTGTTATGATTTCTATGCACTTTGTTTCTGGTAGAATGGCTTCCCACCTTACACAGCAGTACCCTGTGCTGGCAGAGCTGAGTGATAGCCACACCCCTCAGCACAAGTATCCCCATACAGCCTTGTATTGCAGAGAAGGGAAGGGGCGTGTCTGACCAGGTCTGTTACACTGCTGAGAGCACCAGGTCTGTCTTTGGTACGTATCAGACTGCAGAGTCATATTTAGACACCCGGCATATCTGCAGAACAGAAACATGGAGGTAAATCTATGTACAAAGGATGTTGGTACAAAGTCTATCTTCATGCATATATCATTTTTATTACTTCAACTGGGGTTTCAAGAGACGGTGTGCAGGAAGTGCCAGCGGCGGCTAGTGTGTCATGAGAGAACAGTGGCCTGGAGACAGACAAAGAGCAGCCCAGTCCAGTTATGCAAATTAGAAGAGAAGAGGGAAAGTTTATAGAGGAAACAAGTCAAAAATAAAAGAAGAAAAGAACGAGTTGTGTCAATAGAAACACAACAGAGACCTTGAAGAAAGGGGAGTGGCCAATGGTGTGGAGCAATGACCGTCTGCTCAGAGTTCCTTCCAAAGTGAATTGCGTCTTCAGCCGGCATGGTCCAAATGTAGCTGAACCCAAAACTAGACAAGTGCCATTCGCTTCGTTCTGAATCAAAATTCGGACAATCGGACACATCAGAATCTCCGAATCCCAATGCATGCGAATTTGTCCGAATCCGAATTTCCGTTTCCGAATTTTGGATCCTGGCCGAACTTCGGCCAAAAATTAAACTGAATCGGACATGTGACTTTTCTGGCCAGATCAGATGTGTTTTTTCCGGTTTAATGCATCCGACTGGGTCTGAACACGAGTTTTCGTTATGGCAA